TGGAGTAGATCTGCCACGTGGATGAACTTGACCTCCTTCCATTTGGACTACTTTCATGATCATTCCGCGCACACAAGGCCACGTGGATGAGAGCTTAGCAGTCGGTCATTGGAACTCGATGAACAACTGAACGAGCGGATCCAATCAAGAGTTCGATGCAATCTTAATCTAGAGTGGAATCAAGCCCCTCATGAAACCTTTCCCATCCTCCTCTGCCCCTGCTCTCCCGACCTCGACTCCCCTCCCCCTTGGGAGCCTTGATCGAGGAGCGGACCAAAGCCTTCTTCCTTGTCTTCCGCCCTGGTTCACCATTCGTGTTCTTTGGAAGAAAACAGACCCACACAAACAGAAAAAAAGGAATCCCATCCTCCACCAAAGACGAAAGCGCCACCTTCGTAGAGTTCCTCCTGGCGTAGACCATGGATGGATGGATGGATGGATGGCCTTCCTCCTGCCTATTATCTTTCTTTCTTCTTTAATACGTTTCTCAAATTCTCAGGGCAAATTTGCGAGAATTAAAAAAAAAAACAAAAAAAAAAACTAGGCTACCAGCGGAAATGCTTCGTTGGAGTTTCAACGACTGTTCTTTTTTTTTTTTTTTTTTTTTTTTTGGCAGGGCAGTCGTTGGCAAGTGGTCCCGGGCAACTCTGGTAGCCTAGGAAAAAAAACAAAAATAAAGATTTATGCCAGGATCACCCTGAGAGCAAAAAAAAAACGAAAAATGAAAAGAAAAACAAAACAACAACACAAAAATAAGCTGAAGCAGCTGCTGACCTGCTACGGTTTTAACTGTGCTTTGATTGTTGAACTTTTTCCTCTTTCTTTTTCTCACCCCTCCTTTCTTCTCCCCCCCCCCCTTTTGTGCTAGAGGGAGAAGAGGACAACAAACGAGGGGCTGTGACAATATAGCTATTTTGTCGGAGTTTCAGCAGCGAGTCCGGAGTGTATTTTTTGGCTGTGACAGACCTTTCGTTGTTTCGTGGGTGTTTTGCTTGGTTGTTGCTTGTGATGGGGTGTGAACAGACAGTCTGTAGAGTTTTCCATCTGGGTGTGGGTGAGCGATAATCTGCGTTGATTTTCGTCACAGGCACCTTGAGGGCAGTGGTTGGTGGTCCCCACCACCTCAGAGGGGTATCACCGGAACGGGGGTTAAGGTGGAATATCGCGTAGTGTAATTAGTTAGGTAGGGGATTCTGCAGACCGTTTCTGAGGGTTCAGCCTCCTGATGAGAGGCACAGCATGGGCCCGTAGTTACGGGCCCGACCACTATATATAATAAATATATCTTCAAACAGAAAATATATACTGTCACAGTGTGAATCGGAGCGCAAAGGCGGAAAAAAAACATAAAAAAAAAAAGGAAAAGAAAGAAGAAAGGAAAGGCCCACCTGTTGATCACCTCTTACGTACAAGGACAGCCACGTGGATGACAGGTTGAGCGCTGGCTGCCCCCATCCCCGTGTGTCACAAGGACCCCCCACTTGCACGCACGCAGCCAAAAGGCAAACAGGTAAACAAAAGGAGGCGGAAATATGTGTGTGTGTGTGTGTGCGTGTGTGTGTGCGTGTGAGAATGAGATAGAGAGAGAGAGAGAGAGAGGGAGACAAAGACAAAGAGAGACAGCGCAGTGAACCCTTATATTTATTGTCTCTTTCCGTTCTTGTCGTTTTCTCGCTCCTTTTCACACTTCTGTTTTTGTTTTTGTTTTTTCGCACTTCTGTTTTGTTTTTTCACTCTTCTCCTTTTTTATTTTTTCAATTCTGTACTCACTTTTAGCACTTCTTGTTTTTCCTTTTTTTTTTTTGCTATATTCTTCTCTCAATTTCACCTTTCACTATCTATCTACTACCCCTAAAAGCCTATATACAGCGGACCCCTGGAAGCATCGTCACCTCTCACAATTCAAGCACGAGGAAATTCCCCGGCCTCAATTTGACCTGTTGTGATAAATTTTGTTCTCGCAAAAAAAATAAAATAAAATAAATAAATAAATAAAATCCTCTTGCTCGATCGAGCAAGACATGGTTCGTATTCACAAGCATTCACATGTAAATCCTCTTCCTCGAACATAACACAGGAATGTGTGCAAGTTAAAATTTTCAGCAGCAAAGTAAGTGCTGGAGTAACTAACGAAAGGGAATTTTCCATTCAGCCGCAGCTATATGATAATATGGTTCCAACTATTTACAGCAATTAACAAAAGGGAATTTTCAATCTTCCATTCAGCAAAACCCGCTGACTGAAAAAAAAAAAAAAAAAAAAAAAACTGACTGGAAGGTATGGAGTACCCTGTACGAAAGGGAATTTTCCTCTTCAGATCAACGGGGGAATCTGAGCAAGCGCTCTGGTTTCATGTGGCCACAGGCCTGATCTGTGAGACCACCCATCTGGTCCACAACAGGAACAGGTCGAGGTTCCACAGGAACCGAAAGAGACCGCTCTCAGGATAAACGGGGAAAGCTGAGCAAGCGCTCTCCATATCTGGTAAGAGGCCTGATCGGTGAGGCCATCCATCTGGTCCCACGGGAAGAGATCGCGGTTCCACTTCCACAGGAAGGGACCGATTGCAGAGCAAGAACTCAAAAGGTCCTATCAAGCAAGGCCTGAGCGAGGGAATCCAATGCTTGAGCGTAGATTGGGGCTTGAGCGAGGGAATCCAAGACAGGTGCATCTGGTCCCACAGGAACAGGGCGAGGTTCCACTTCCACAGGAAGAGACCGATTGCAGAGCAAGAACTCAAAAGGTCCTATCAAGCAAGGCCTGAGCGAAGGAATCCAATGCTTGAGCGTGCAGTGGAGGGAGGAAAGCAAATGCTTGAGCGAGGGAATCCAGTACAGGTGCGTTGGCTCCCCCCTGCGACCGTGAGTGAGCCAGGGAGCACGAGCACGAGCTGGCTGCCGTTCACTCCCGCAAGCCAGCTCCCAACGGCCCCCCCTGAACTCTTTCATTTTTCAGGGGGGCCGTTGGGAGTGGTGGGGACTGATTCTGTCCAAGTGGGTGGTGGACGGTGTTAACCGCGAGGACTTCAACCACCACTCCCAACGGCCGCCCTGAACTCTTCATTTTTCTTGTCATATACCTTCTCTTTTTCTTTTTGGTTGTTTCCTTCTGAAAAGACATCATCATCGAACTGCAATCGGGTCTCTTCCTGTGGAAGTGGAACCGCGATCTGTTCCTGTCGGTCCAGATGCACCTGTCGTGGATTCCCAAGCAATTCAGAACGATGTGATTCTCTCCATCTGAGGGTGGTATCTGGATTAAAAAAAAAAAAAAAAAAAAAAAGGTGGTATCTGGATTCGAACTGGGGCCTGTGGCCACATGAAACCAGAGCGCTCACAGATCAGGCCGGGCCCGGGCCGTCGCTCCACTGGGGTCTGTATTTCAACAGACAGTTCAAAACCTACAGTTCCCAGGCCCGGGCCGTCGCTCCACTAAACCCCCTACATGCATTTAGTAGCCTTCTAGACCACTCTAGAAGTATTCTAGAAGTATTCTAGAAGTACTCTAGAAGTACTCTAAAAGTATTCTAGAAGTACTCTAAAAGTATTCTAGAAGTACTCTAGAAGTATTGAGAGAAGTAAAGGGAGGCAGTATTGCTAGCGGGCAACGAGAGGGGACCACAGAACGGGAGGGGAAAAGAGCGGGGGGAGAGAGAGAGGGAGAGAAAAAAAAACAAAAAAAAAGAGACATACAAAAAGGGTCTCGCCGCACGGCACACGAAACGAAAACGAAACGAGTGCATCTGCCCACGGAAGGTGGCAAAATCCACTCGTTACTATTGATAGCAAACCGATGAACCTGGCCATTTTCAGCAGGAAGATGCACTCGTTTCGTTTTTCGTTTCGTGTCCCGTGCGGCGACACCCAAAGAAAGGTGGCGAACAAGCGCCAAGGCAAGTCTTCTCTAGAAACAAGCCTCTACAGTCTTCAACCGACCATAGAGCACCCTGAAAATGAACGTACACAAAGGTATGTTTCCGGTCCGATACAGTCAAAATGAAAGGTGGGTTGTGTTCGGATGAAGACGGTAGAGCCTAATGACTCACTAAAACCATCTCACTCCCCTGCATCATCGCCGCCTCCTACTCCAGACTGCCACGACTCCCTCCCTCTCTTATCTAACCTGCCCCCCTCCTTTTCCTCTATCGTCGAAACGGCGTTGGCACGACTTGGACCAGGGGGGGAAAGTTGGGGCGCTGCTGTGTCTCGTCTTCGACGATACGCAACGTGGGTTGTGGGTGTTGACGTCACTTGACGTCGGTAGAGTCGGCCATCACATCTTTGTGCTTCACGCCACTGTTAACAGCCACGTGTTAGCCACGTGTTAACGTGTGTTGTATTAATTGGATGAGATGCTATTTGACTTCGCACAGCTTGTACGACTTGTACGGCGTCTGCCGAATGTGCTGTTGACAGCTTGCTTGCAGTTCTCTGAATATTTGCCCTACACTGGACACTCTTTTTTTTCTTCTTTTTTTTCTCGTGTTCCACTTGACACTTTTTTTTTTTTTTTCCCCACAAGCACTTTATTACTCCTTTAACCACGACAAGAAAATTGAGGCCGCTAATCCCTCAACAAACAACCCGGAAGACCCATCTAGGACCACCATTACCCAGCTTATAGGTTCAGCTGGGACCACCATTAATTACCCAGCTTATAGGGATTCAGAATGGCCGTTGGGAGAGAAACTTCCTAGGAACAGAATGACCAGATACAGACCGCTGTCCTGTAATCTCCACAACCCTGAGAAAGATACATAACGCACGCTGGAAATGAATGTATACAAGGTTCAGCTTATAGGTTCATCCGTTGGGAGAAACGTCCTAGGAACAGAATGACCAGATACAGACCGCTGTCCTGTAATCTCCACAACCCTGAGAGAGATCAAAGCCATCACGGCCAGCAAAACCTCACAAAATTGAGCCTTGGGCTTATTTGGACTTGACGCTCTATTCATTTGCGCTAAACAAGAAATCCAAAACAGAATGAATAAAAATTTCCTCTATTCCTACTCGCTACTTACGGATACCGTCTTCCGCCGAACATAACGCACCCTGGAAATGAACCGTATACAACGTATGTTTCCGGCCCGATACAGTTCAAATGAGGGTGCCTTGTGTTCGGGGGAAGACAGCAGCCGTCGTTCCGTTTGCAGCCCCCCTCCACACCT